TAGGAAATACATAATCTTTTCCAGCACACATGGAAAATTTAAAAATTTCATCAAATATATACAGATTGCAAAGATTACAAATAACTATCTTAACAATAAAGAATCAATGTCACAGAACATACTCTCTTATAAAAATGCAAATAAATGAAAAAGTTAATAATATAAGGAAAAATTTTAAAGTTTGAAAATTTTTAGAGAATTGAGCTTTATAAAGAAGGTATTACAAATATAAAATATGAATGACAATGAAAAATACTATTTCTTAATGCTTTTGAGATGCAGTTAGCATGTACTTCAAAAAGAAATTTGTAGACTAAATGTATGTAATAGAAACAATTGAGAAAGCATGTAACTTAAGAAGTCAAAAAAAGAAGATTAAGACCAAGTAAAAAGAACTAACAGAAACAGGAGAATAATTTAGTCAATCAAGAATATCAAGAAATTAAAAAAATTGTTATTTGAAAAGACTTAAAATTTACCAAATATAAGAGAAAAAGGGTAGTAGAAACAATAGTGAGATTGAAAGTGGATAAAGATATGTAAAGTGTTTAAAAATCTGAGAAAACAGCTTTATATCAATGTATTGTAAAGCCTATAGAAATTTGTCAATTTTCTAGAAAATATGTCAAAATCAATCTCCAAAGAAACAGATAATTTGAACAAATTCTAGTCATTTAAAAAAAAACAACATAGTAAGTTGTTAAAGATCTATCCATAAAACTAACAACTAAAGAAAATATAAGACTTAGATTGTTTTACAAGGGAGTTCTAGTGAACATTCAAAGAACACAGTAATCTTACTGAAATGATACTGGAGAACAGAAAAAGAGGGACTATTCCTCTATTTGTAAGACTGGTGTAATTTGACACCAGACTTAGTGACAGTAACAGAGAGGAAAATTACACATGTAAAAATCCTAACTAAAATCATTACAATTCAAATACAGCAATTAAAAAAATGGTGAATTCATGAGTAATCCCACAAATGAGTATTTTATCATTTGAGAATATATGAATGTGATTTATCACAATAATTGATTTTAAAAAACACCATATGATCTTTACAGATGCAAACTAAAGTATTAAGAACACACCACAGCCTCTTAGAAACTAGGAACAGAACTTCCTTAATTTAAAAATAAAAGCAAAGAAAATGTACAACTACCAACAGCATGTAGAAAAAAACAATACTCAATAATGAAATACAGAATCATTTCCCTTAGTCAGGATGAAAAGAAATGGATGCTCACTATAACTGCTTCTATTTAACTCCAAAGACCCAGGATAGCACAATAATATAAAAAGGGAAAGGAAAAAATATAACAATATTTCAGTGATATGATAACCTATATATATGAAATCCAAAAGGATCTATAAACTAATGAGAGATTTAATCAGGGATGTGACATATACACAAACATCAGTAATACAATGTAATGAATTAGAATGTAATAAAAATAAAAATTGTGACATAACAAAACCCGTAAGAATAAATCCTACAGCATTCCTTAGAAGTTTAAGGAAAAAAATATAAACCTTTGTTGAAGGATTTTTAAAAAAGAACTAAGCAAGCAAAGGTCTATTGATAGGAAGATGCAGTTCTTTACAAAATTAATCAATAAATGTATTATATTCCAAACAAAATTGCAACAGGGTTTTTCATGAAATTCACAAGTTGATTCTAAAACTCATGTAGAAGAACAGATGGTTGATTTTGAACAAGAAAGGGAACACTTGCCCTGAAAGATAGAAAGATTTAATGCCAAGTATGGATTCAACAAATAGAGAATCTCAGTGAAGAAATAGAATGACCAAAAAAAATAAGCAAACAGAAATTCTGCAGTTGGAAAGCAAAAAAACTGAAATGAAAAATGAAGAAAAGGGACTTAACAGCAGAGTTCAGATTTAGATGTCAGAAAAAAAATGAGTGAGCTTGAAGAAAGATCAATACACTTATCTAATCACAAGAATAGAAAAAAAATGACTGAAGAAAAATGAATATCACTTCAGAGGCATGTAATACAATATGAAGCATTCAAACACACAGGTAATGGGAGTTTAGAAGCAGAAGAGCATGAGAAAAGGACTGAAAAATAATGGCCAATGACTTCCCAAGCTTAACAGACAGCATTAACCTACTAAATCCAAGCGGCTCAGTGAGGCCAAAGACTTTCATCAGAAACAATGGAGGCCAGAAGACAGTGGAAAGGCACAAAACACTGAAAGAAAAAAAGCTGTCAACAAAACTATTCTTCAAATAGGAACATTCCCATATAAACAGAGACTGAGAATTTGCTGCCAGCAGACCTGCCGTATGATAAACACTAAAGGCCCTGAAGCTGAAAGGATGTGACACCAGACATCAATACTCAGGAAGGGTGGAAGAAGGCTGGAAATAGTAAATACATGGATAAATATAAAAATCTACACAGTAGTTTTCTTATTAAGTTCTTTAAAGAAGAAAAGATTGTAGAAAGTATCTGCACTGTTGGGTTTACAAGATACATATATATATATATATGTAAAATACATAACAATAACAACATAAAGAAGGGGGAAGTAAAAGGAGATATACTGGAGCCCAGTTTATAATTCACTGGAATTAAGTATTATTCTGAGGTAGACTATGTAAAGCATACTCTGCTACCTAGAACCACCACAAAAAGTAACTAAGAATAGGTAAAAATTTCTGCAGAGGAATCAAAATGGCATACTAAAAAATATTTCACACAGTACAAAGTAAAGGAGGAAGAGGACCAAAACAAGTAAGACAGAAAATAAACTGCAAATTGACAGCTGTAAAAGGCGAAGATGTCAGACTGAAAAAAAGACCAGGACTCAACTATATGTTACCTGTGAGAGACAGACCTTAAACTGAGACACACATAGACCAAAAGCAAAAAAGTATGGGAGAAGCTACACTATGCAAACAGAAACCGTAAGACAGCTGTAGTAAGCAAGACTGCGTGGTACGGGCTGAGGGATAGGTAACGAGGATAAATGGAAGAGAATTAAAAGCCCAGAAACAAACCCTTCCTTTTTAAGTTCATTTGACTTTTGATAAAGGTGCCAACCCAATTCAGTGCAGGGTGCTGACACAATTAGGTTTCTGTAGAAACTTAAGAACCTTACTCACATCTTCAAAAAAAATGTATCTTAGGATGGATCATAGACCTAAATGTAAAAGCTAAAACTGTAAAACTGCTAGAAAAAAATGAAGGAGAAAATCTTTGTGATGTCATGCTAAGCAGAGTTCTCACAACACCAAGAGCATAAACCACTAAAAAAAGTGGTAAAATAAACTTCATTAAAATTAAAAACATAAGTGCTTCAGAAGAAGATAAAAGGACCCATACAGGCCAGGAGAAAATATTTGCAAATAATGTCTCTGATAAAGGACTTATATTCAAAATAAAGAACTCTTACAACTCAGTAAGACAAATTGCCCAACTAAAAAGATGGGCAGAAGACTTAAATAGGCAAATTATCAAAGCAAATATAAAATGGCTAAAAAGCATATGGAAAAATGATCAACATAAAAAATCATTAAGGAAATGAAAACTCACTATAATAAAATAGCACTACACACCCATAATGGCTATAATCCAAAACACAGATACTGTTCAAATGTTATAGCAATTTAAGTAAACAGTTTGAAAGTTTTATAAAAAACAGTTAAACATAATTTTCCACAAAACCAAAAATTCCACCTGAGAGACCAACTCAAGAGAAATGAAAACATATATCCACACAAAGCCTTCAATAACAGTGGCCACAGGAGCATTATTCATAATAGCACAAAACTGGAAAGAATCCAACAAATGTCCCTCAACTGGTGACTGGACAAATGTGGTATATGTATGTATACACTGGAAAACCAAAACCATTCAGTTATAAAAGTAATGAAATACTGATGGAGGCTATAACAATGATGACCTAAAAACATTATGCTAAGTGAAAGAAACTAGATGCAAAGATTATGTATAGTTTATACTATACTATTATATATACTTTATGTTATACATGCTGTATATGTAAGATTATGCACATTGAATATTTTGTATATATCTATACATATACACAGAAACACATATATGTACATATACATATTTCTACTTATATGAAATATTCAGAAAAGGCAAATTTGTAGAGATTGAAAGCAGATCAGTAATTGTCTGGGGCTGGGAGCATGGACTGACTGGCAAAATGGCTTGCAGGGATTTTATTCAAGGTGATGGGAATTCCTAAAACTGAATTAAGGTGATGTCACAGCTCTATACATTTATTAAAAATTATTAAATTGTAAATTTACAATAGAATAGAATTTCATGGATGAAAATTTTACTTCAATAAAGCTATTGCATTCCCTCTAATACAAAGAACTGACTCAGTTTAACTAAAACCATTACAAACCTACTAATTAAATCTGTTCCATTTAAGCACCATTAAACATCTGGGGAAAAAACTTGCATATCAGGTTATCACCAAATCTGTTTTGTGACTCTAGCCAACTGCTTCAAGAAATACGCCACTTTAATACGTCAATTAGCGTAATCTGAGTAGCATCAAGCTTTGAACTGATAACAAGACAATAACTTACCTCTGAAGAAAAGTTTTAAATTTGATTTTAACTGTAGGTTCTTTACTTTGATACTTAGATGGAAGAAAACTTGCATACAAATGTACTTTAAATGTAGTAAAATAAATTTCCAAATAATTTAATAATTTTTTTTGAACAGTAAAAAAGAGAATAAATGTTAAATTTAATTTTAGAGTTTCATTGACTATATAACAAGTATGAATTTTTATTTTTCTCTGAACTGGGTTCATGTATTTAAATGAAAGAAACCTTTGACTTAAGCATTAAAAGCTTTCTGTGCAAAACTACCATGGTTTAAAATTACAATATTTTGGTATTTGCTATTCAATTCAAGAAACAATGTAGTTATTGTACTTATTATTTGTTCCTCTTTTCCTGTGATATATAATATAGCACTTACCCTGCTTTCCTCTAGGCTATCAAATGGACCTGGTGGGTCATCCAGACAAAGAAATTCTCTTACTGCAAGGCTTTTCAAAGGGAAAAAAAAAAAATTAGGTGAGGAACAAATAAGTTTACAAAAGATAGCAAAAAGCAAAATTTCTTGAAAGCAATATAGTATTTGAAGTAAGTTTTTTCTGCTGATATACCAAAATAAGAAAGTTGGTTAATGTGTTCTCATGCAAGTAACCAAATACAAATATAAAATCTTTAGTAGATACAAAGATTTCAAGCTATTTTCTAAGATCTTAATGGACACAGAGATTGTGAATTTGTGTTAAACACTACAGCTCATAAAACATAATTCAGAATAGTGATACAGAAGACCAACTTAAATGGTGGATACAATATTACTTTCAAAGAAAATTAATTTGAGCCAATCTAAAAAAGTTATTATCTTGAAGAAATACAATTTCAAATTTACACTTCATTTGTTCCTGCAAATGTAAGGAGATGCTTTAAAGTAACTAAAAATACTATGAAACATGTTAAAGATTTTCTTATGATCATGTTTATTACATTAACTTTAAATATTTTCCCTAGAGAGCTCAAGACAAAAATTTCTTACTAGCCTACTTCTGAATCATCATAAATTTCAAAGTAATGAAATAATATGGTATTATTACACTTTGTAAAGACCAGAAATAGGTTAGGAGGGTAGAAAACTGAATTTCCTTGTGCACAAAAATATTCCTCATTATAAAAGCAATTTTGGGCTGAGAGACAACTTTGTGTGTGTGTTAGAACATAAATGTGGAGACAAGTTTTGTTTTGTTTTTTTTTTTTAGCTGTAAAAGAACAATATGATTTCTTGATATATTAAACAAAGGAAGATATCAACCTATGCTGAAAAGGGAATGGGGCTTTTTGGTTCTGATTGGGCCGGACAGGTTGATGATAGGGATAGTCATGAAAAGATAAATGGTATTTTTAGTGAAATTTTTCCAAAAGAAAAAAACAGTATGAATTAATATATAGAAGTGGTGTTAAGGAAGTAATCCAGAAGATCCCAAAGACAGAATAAAGAAGTGAAAATTCCTGCCTCGTAAAATCTTGACAATGCAGGTAATAAAGGACACATATTCAGGCAAACTGAGAAAAAACTATTCATAATCAGAAAATAATAGAGATGGAAGGGATCTTAAATGTGATCTAGTCGAACCAACCATAGCATGCTCTTTATCCCTTTTAAATGTTCAGTCAAGGATATACCTAGACACCTCCCAAGACACAAAATTTACTTCTTAAAATAAACCATGTTTCAAAGTATATTTGAACAATGCTGAAAATAAGATAATTATTTCTTTCACTGAGCTGGGAGTTTCCTCCCTGCAGCTTCTATTCATGACCTTTAGTTCTGATTTTTGGAACAATTCAGGGAAAACCTAAGGCCTTCATATGATAACCCTAAAAACATGTCAAGAATGTTTTATTTCTTCTAATCTTATACCTCCTAGAAATAATATTAATACACTAATATTTCCTTTGCTTTTTTTTTTTGTCGTGTAACAAAATTTATGGATTATTAAAGCCTACTTGGTCTCTGCATTCATGTAGCCAACATTTTCCCCCCAGCTTTACTGTGGTATAATTGACAAATCACAATTTTTAATATATTCTAATATTTTAAGATATTTAAGGTGTAAACCTTGATTTGATAGATGTATACACTGTGAAATCTGAACTACAATCGAGTTAATTAACATATCCAACTCAAACAGTTACAATTTTTAGCATTTTCAATATACACTGCACACAGGGCTTCACATATCCTATTTAATTTAATTTTCACAACAATCATGTGAGCTGAGGATAGGCATTGTATCTTCATTTTACAAATGATGACAAAGTTTAGAGAGGTAAAATGACTTAGTCAAAGTCACTAGTTCAAATGGTAGAGCAAGATCTTAAATCTCAGTGTTCTGAATGTAAATACGTGCTTTTCTACCTTTAAATTCTTTTCTCTTGTGTTTTAGTTCACATGGATTCTTTTTGGCTAGTCATTTTCTCTGACCACATTCTACTTGCCTGCATCCTACTCTAATCAAGGCCTCTAGAATACTACAGTTAGTCTATGTTGCACAAAGAACAGGACTGCCATATATTTGGTTTAGATATTATACTTTATCCCACACATTATTTATATTAGAGAACCAACTCTCAGGAAAAAATGAGCCACAGGAAATAAACTAATGTTAGGATTGAGAGGTCAGAAGTTTGAATGAAAACCTTAGAGAATAACCCTTACGACTGAAAAAGAAAGAGCTAGAAAGCTTATGTAGGGGTCTTTTTAAAAATACTTCCAGTGTATGACAACCCCATGTAAGACATTTTTTTATATGTTCACAAATTAATTACTGGAATGCTGCTGTTAGGAAATAAAAAGTGGGTAAAGGAATATATGTATCTTTTTTTTTTTTATAAACCTTTGGTTTATAGTAGAAATTTAGCCCAAGATCAACGTGAGGTTGACAATGTACCTAACTATAGTAATCTTTTTGGATTAACTTTTCTATTTCATCAAACCTCCCTAAAAATCTTTGATCTACATTACATTCCCATGGCTTATATATTTTAGAACTGAAGTTTGTACCTCTTAATCCCTTAACCTAATGTACAGCATAGGGAATTTACTCAGTAATATTGTAATGACTGTATGGTGATAGATGAAAACTCGACTTACTATAGGGATCATTTCGTAATGTATAAAAATTTCCAGTCAGTATGATGAACACCTGAAACTACAACTGAACCTTAAACAATGCAGGGTTAGGGAGGCTGACCATCCCCTGACCTACTTCAGTCAAAAATCTGCATATACTTTTGACTCCTCTAAAACTTAAACTACTAATAGTCTCTACTGCCTTACCTGTGACATACGTTGATGAACACATATTTTGTATGTTATATGCATTATATACTGTAGTTTTACAATAAATTAAGCCAGAGAAAAGAAAATGTTTTTTCAAATTGTTGCAAATCTCCAAAGAACTTTCCAACAAATTTATTGAAAAATACCTGCATATAGGTGGACTCATGGAGTTCAAACCCATGTTGTTCAAGGGTCAACTGTCATACGGTATTATATGTCAATTATACTTTAAATAAAACAATTTTTATATCTATGGCTCACTAGAATTCTAGTCAAATGAAATCCAATGGACTCCTTGTTTTTTTCAATATAGTTGCAAGATTATATTCCATGCCCTCTTTTCTTTAATCCGTAGCCTAAGAATGAAATTTAAAATTGGCTTTACAATTTTGATTCACAAAACACTTTCTCCATGGTTCACTACATTTCTTCTGTTTCAAAAGAACTCAGCTGGTAAAGAAAGACAGTCAATACTCTCAAGCTCTATTCCTGTAAGAGATGGACACACAAGAATCTCTGGGAGACAGCAGTGTTTGAAAATACAATTTCTTTCTCAGAAATTGACACTTTTTTTCTGAGGAAAGGAAGCCCTAACCCTGGTTTGAGAGACACTAATTAGAGAATTTTATTTAGGAATTGATAAATATTTGACTGCTGATGTGTGCCATGATTCTGCTCAGTGATTTCCTATATATTATGAATGTATGATTTCAAAGGGATCAAATGAATTCAAATAAAACATAAACAACAGTCTATACTATTAAATGGTCTATGGATTTAACAGAAGTGCATTTTAAAAAATCTTTTTAAAACTTATTCACTGATAGGCTCAAAATAGCTCCCAGTCTCTCTTCTGTATTCAATCTTTAATACTTTTGCTTCCATTTGAATAAAATAATGAAGGTAAGAAAAATATCAGGATAGGAGAGAAACTATGTAAGAGAAAATCCAACAATCTGGAATTACAAGGTAAGGTTATAATGAAACTTATAAGGTATGTATCTTTCTATTCCCTTATTGCCTACAGTAGTACCTTTTAGTGTGTTTGGGAGAATGCTATTTTGGAATTGGAATCAGTTGTTGATTTAATTTGCTTTAAGATAAGGAGATTACAGATGCTCTCCTTCAGCATTACTTTATCGGAGCAAATGTGTACTCTAAGTTAAACTCTTCCTTTGATTCTCTTGAATTTTTCTTCAAGAGTTTTACTGGATTTTCAAGCTTCTTAAAAAACAATTTCATCCAGTGAACCTTCATCTTCTATTAACTGTCATATTATCATTTTTTCTGTTTATAGGTGTGTACCTGTTTATATTTTGTGTAGTTTTTAAAAAGACCAATTTCAAAGCTAAACGTGCTCTTTATCTCAACATTTGTATTTTAAAAGAAAGAAAAAAAAACCCCTAAAACTAATGCCTACAATTCATTAAAAGGTCAATTAAGAACTAAGTAGAAAAAAATGTACAAAAAATACCAGACACTGATTATGTTAAAACTAAATCAAGCACAAGAGGTCACTGTATGAAAATACAACTGAGGGATTTCAGATAGAAATGTTCTATCATTTAATATTTGTCTTCAGTATTCTCCACCAGTTTAAAGAAAATAACCAAAAATTGCCATTAAATACAACTTTGAGGATAAGGACTCAGACCAGGCTGGTGAGGGTCACTCTGTAGATGGCTTGGTGGGTGTGAGGCTGCCTTTCTTATTTGACAATTCAGAAATAGTACCTCCTCATGTCTATCATGTTGTTCCGTGCTTCCATGTCTTTATTCAGGCTTGCTGCTATTACCCTGGTCCACCCTTCCTACCCTTACCTGGCTAGCTCATACTTACTCTTCATGACTCAGCTCATCTACTCTCTCCTCATGGAGTCTTCTCTGACTAAATCCCCCTCTCCTGCCCTCTACCAGGTTCTGCATTCTTATGTGTATTACCACAGCACCTTGAAGAGGCCCCTCAGGACTTACTACTCTATTAGTATAATCTGTTCACCAAGCAGTTTTTTTCACCAAAAGACAGATAACAAGTTCCTGGACTGTGTAGTTCATATCTGAATCAATTAGCATAACACAAAATAAGTATTTAAATAATGAATTTATTTGTAAGAGCTATGCAATTAAAAAATTAATGAAATTAAGAGCATCAGAACAAATTTCTATCCAATGTTGTAGATAAACACTCTAGCGTATTTCTCAAATTTGAGATGGATTTTAGTTTTCAACACATTATCCTACTTTCATAAGAAAATAAGCTTAGGACAGTAACAATACCAAAAGTTGTAAGAGTTAAAAGAAGTTTAGAATCTGGCTGTTTCTTTCTGATGGTACAACTTCAAGATTCATAAGGCACCACAACAGAAAGAATAGCATATGAGGAATTCAGAGTTGAAAGGAATTTTTAGAGAACAGTTAGCCCAATTATCTTTTTCCAGTTAAAGACATCGATTAAAATCAGTTAAGTAATTGCCTAAAATTATATTGCTACTAAGCCCCCAAAACTGAGTCTTGCATAGTTTCTGAAACCCCATTTAAGTAACAGTTTACATATACTAAAATATAAAATATTTATTTTGTACTGCATTTTTAAAAACTATCCAAAATTTGAAGTTCTACCATACTAACATTTAGTGTTGAAAATCATCCAGCCAACATTAGCAATAATGTTTTGAATCTCATGAGCTTCTGGACATGTAACTCAATTAGTTATTCATTTTATAAAAGTACTAATACTAACCCAACTTCTCTTGGTATCTTTATATATAAAAACAACTTAGAGACATTTATAATAAAATTTCCTCTGAGAAGATAGTTTAGGTTGAAAGTGTATAAAAATAGCTTAAGTATTCTTGCTAAAGAATGATAGAATTACTGAATTTTACAAATAGGAGAAACCTAGAAAGTCATGTAATTAACAATACATTTAATAATTTCCTCTTTAGTAGCACTGCTACTTATTTACCTCTTCAAATACTTAAAGAGAAACTCACTTCTTCAAAAGACAGCTTGAAATGAGATATAACTCTTTCTTATCTGAGCTGACAGGGTCTTCCTTCAACATCTCACTATTATTCCTAATTCCATGTCAGTTTTGTTATTTAAAATAAAGTTCCCAGACCAGACCATAAATAATACTTTATTATCTGCATGATACCATGCAGCATTTCATAATGTGTATGTACATTTTTAAAACCATGAAATGCTGGTAGTACAGATCCATCCTGTACATATGCTGAATTTAGGTGCTGAAGTCCTTCTGGAAGGATGATAATATGAGGAAAAATATGTAATTTTAGCCCCTGTATTATAAATATTTAAGGAGGAAAATTTGGTAAATCAGGATGTGTGTGTAGTACTTCTGAAAAAAAAGAATAGTAAAATATTTTCTTTGCAATTAAATATAACAATTTCAAAATAGCATAAGATAGTATAAAACAGCAAAGAGCAGTAATTTAACTATAACAGATTGTGAAATATATGACTTTTCTCCTCTATCTTTACATATCCTTCATCTTGACAAACAGTCACATGCTCCTGGTGCAGGACCTCTCTTGCTTCCGCATTCTGATATAATGTCCCCTCTCATCTGCTAAGTCCTTCTTACCTTCTCTTTGTCAGTCCAAATATCATAATTCTTTAAAATCCAGCTCAAATATCACCCTCTGGGTAGTCTCCTCTAATTCTGTCAGTCAAAATTCTCTCCTCCTCCTGTGAAAGAGATCTAACTCAAGCCTTTACAACCTTTTCTAGTACATATTTCTCTATTCAGTTTTCCAATGTAAGGGATCTTCATCTGATGCACCTGTGTGTAGCTTTACTTTATGTACAGGAAGACATTTATGGAACAGACAAAATAAATAATAAGTCCTTTTGTCATGAAAACATTAGTTACCTGTTTTTTAATTTTGTGTTTCTAAATATATCTGCAAGTAATATCCCCTTAAAACATTCAAAGGAGCAATCCATATTTTCTTCTCTTTCTGCTTTATAGCCAGAGGAGTTATAATATTAAGAATGCTAGTTGTGTAATGGCAAGCTCTTAGCCAACATGAAGGTTAAGAAATAACTGTATTGTGAGGTGCTAAGGATATTAAAAAGGAAAGTGAAAGAACTGTATGAAGAATTAATATCAAATAATTATTTGGCCATATAAAGATAGTAATTTTTCTGTACTGCCAGTCCAACCATAACAGGATGCTAACAGGTGTACCGACAGGTAATATACAACTAATTGATGTTTTAGTAGTGAGTCTTAAATGTTGTTTTATACTTTTATAAAGAAGTGTTTTGATTTTGTCTTTTTCCCCTTCTCCCTTAGGTGAAAATAATAAACGGCTGTTTGTCAGCCTTAGACTTTTAGTATACCTTCTAGCTACTTTTTCCTAAATCATATACACCTTCCTACCCATAATATTAATCTAGCCTTCGAGGTTCTTAAATTATACTTTGTATTTTCAATATTGCTTGATTACTGCAAAAAGGACTGACCCCCCCCTTGAGTTCTTGTTACTTTATTATCTGCATGATACCATTTCATAATCTCTCTTATTTTGTTCAAACAGGAGCTTAATTTCTTTAAATGAATTTTAGAACCAATCAGTATACCCCAAGCTTCTTTCATACCCTGCTTACCATGACACAGAGTAAGGGCAGATGCTTAAGATACAAGTTAATAGCTCTTCTTCTCCTTCCCCCACACATTCTTTAACCATAATTTATTAAAAAACTTCTTAAATTGTGAAATAAAAAATGCTACTCATCACCCACAAAAGGAGTGGGTGCTCTAGAATAAACAAGGCTTAAATACCTTACTCAATTTAAATACCAAGTTCATTTATCTTATGGAATTCCCCAAATGTCTGATAATATGACAAAAATAAGATAATAATGCAAGGCACACTAGATTCTTCATGTAAGATTTCTTAGAACTTTTAATACTCTAGGGATATCAAAAAACCTTCCCTCAACTCACTTGGCTAAGAAATTTTTCTTTCCCTGGAGTACCTATTTATGAATTGAGTAAGACTACTACCGCTGTTCTAAAGTTTGCACTATTAGAAACAACAGGATCTTGAATGTCCCTAGTAATGCCGATCTTAGAGACAGAGATCTATAATCAGTAATTAAAAAAAAAAGCATTTTAGCTAAAATACTTTCACTATTCAAAAAAAAATCAAGAAATCACCAGATCCACTAACACAACTTACTTAATATTTCATTATATAAAAACAAAGTATAGTCATTTATAGAATAAATTTGATTTTAAGTCACTGCAACATTTCAATACAGAGAAATAAAGGTTTACTGAATAAGGAACTAGAGAAGGGGAACAGGATGTGTTGACTTCTTAGTTGCAAAAGTCTTCTTTTATGGTATGGTATAAAACATTTTTTTCCCAAGACTTTTCCTATGACTTTAGAGTTTGCTGGTTTATATACCTCCTTTCTGTGTTTGAATTAACACTAACCTTTTTTCTCTTTTATCTGTCAAGATGTAAAAAATACAGAAAAGTAGGAAGCACCCATGTTCCTACTACCTAGAACACACAATGTTGTTTTGTCCCATGAGCTTTAATCTTTTTTCTTATAAACAGTACAATAGCAAGTATCAACATTTTTGCCATTCATTTCAACAAGTACTTATTGAGCACAAATGGTGATGGCATTGTGCTAAGCAGTACTCACTGAATAGGGGCAGGGAGGAATAACAGAACATTAAGTTGGAAAGACACGTGGGTAGGCAGGGACTAGAAAGAATGACTTAAAGTACATTAGAAAAAAATCACCATAGTTCTAATGGACTATAGAAATGAGTGGATGAGGAAGACCAGTACGAATGCTTCTGCAGTGATTAAGGTGAGACAAAACTGCTTAGACTAGGGTGGTGATGCAGGAATGGAGAAATGTAGATACATCTGAAACATAATTTAAAACATAAGGGTAAGGATGGTAAGGGATGTGTCAAGGACAACTCCCAGGTTCTGGGTAGATGCTGCTGCTGAGAATTAAGGCAAAAAGTCCAGAGAGGAAGTTTCAAGGCTGTTTTAGGCTCAAGGTCACTTTGAGTAGGAAATGTCACAGAGGCAACTGCATGTTTGAATCTAGAGAGTTGAGAGAAGCGTTCTGGCTTGTACTTCCTTTCCTAGGGGAAAATGAGGGGAGATGGGCAGAAATCTCAAGGAGCCATCAGCTTAGGCAGCACATATGATGAAGGAAGATCTATATGCATAATATGTGTGTGTTATGTATAACATAAGGTGATATGCATAAAAAAAGACTGAGGAAAAAGAATAGAGAAAGTGACACAGGATAGTTTCCTTACTTACTTTCCATCTTCATGTGAAAAACTGCTAAAGAGAATTACAGACACAGATATCTATACAATATGCTACTGCTGCCTTCTAACTGCTCTCTTTCTTCAAAATAGATTTATTTTTCTGATAATGTAAATTCCAAAATGAGATATGAAGCTCCTTGTATCATATAGCAATATTCTTGTAAATATATTCAGAAGCAAAAACCCATATAGTTCCTTTTTTCCCTTTTTATTGGTTTTGGTATTTTTCACTTTACTCTCTATATAAATTAACCCAACTTCACAATTTTCATATTTTTACATTACTGTGGAGAAATATAAAGAATATGCCCTCAAAATTATATACTGCCATATTAACTAAAAAACTACTAGGTGAGTCTCTTTGTTTAAATGATTGCTAAAATAATAAACACTTAAGTTTACAGCTGGGTGGTTTGAGTATATGGTACATGGAAATTTTTAAGTTTGATGAAGTTTTTAAAAGTGTTAATTCAAAGCAAGTGCCAAATAAAGTCCTTACTGAAAAAAAGCAGTAACATTCCATGTAGTGCTCTATTAGAGGGGACAAGTAATTATACTCCTACCCTATATGTTTGTGCTTGAATACCTATGGTCTTGGATTTGTTCTTTAAACTAGTTGTAGGAATGCACTTATAATCTCTTATTTCAATTTGTTACATACCAGTTAGCAATGTCCTTGTGAGCTACTAAATTCTGAAGAAATGCTTGTAATCCTAATTGTCTATCTTCTAAAAAGTCAGCATTGTAATTATCTTTGAACCAGCGTTTTGGTGGAAGTGCTAATCGAAAGCCTGGAAACATTTCTTTTAACTGAAAAAGAAAGAAAAAAGAAAATACACTTCAACAGAATTATATCAATTTTATGAAATCTAGCCTGTTGACTATGTGAAATTATTTATGAAATGAGTTTGAAATAGAAGAATTAAATTCAGCTAAGTTTTTATACCTTGATTTCTACCAGTTGTGTATACATAGTAGTTACATTTACTCCACATCCTTGTCCATCTTTTCAATGTTAGCCATTCTAGTGGGTGCGTACTAGTACTTCACTGTGGCTTCAATTTGCATTTGTCTGTTGACAAATGGCGTTAAGTACCTTCTCATGTGCTTATCTGGATCTGTGTGCTCTGTGGCAGACTATCTCTACAAATATTCTGATCCCTCTACTTTTTTTTTTAAGTGGGTTATTTTTCTTTTCATTATTAGGTTTCAAGAGTTCTTTATATAGTTCAGATACAAGTCCCTTATCAGATATATGTATGACGAAAAATCCTTCCTCCCTGTGGGTTGACTTTTCATTTTTAAGTCTTAACAGAGCATGTGTTTTTCATGTTGATGTTATCTAATTCATCAGTTTTTTTCCTTTTATGGTTTATGCTTTTTTTTGATCCTAAGAAATCACTCCAGGATTGTGAACATATTCTTCTGTTTTTTCCTGGATGTCTATAGTTTTAGCTTTTACATTTTGGTTTTTGATTCATTTTGCATACCTTGTTTAAATTTTTCTTAGGGAAGACTTTTCCAACTTTCTAAGCAGGTTAGATTTCCCTTTACATACTCTTTTTAAGTGACTATAAATGTGTAACAAGTTACCCCAAATTCTGTTGTATAAAATAACCATTTATTAGGTCACTGACTCTGTGGGCCATACAGGGCACAGTGAAGATGGTTTATCTCTGTTTCACGATGAATTGGGACTTCAGCTGGAAGACTGGAAGGTAGGAGCTGAAATCACCCAAAGTTCACTTCCACATATATTTAGTGGTTGTTTTCTGAGACCTCAGCTTGGGATGTCAGCTATTAGCCTAATACTGCCTCTCTGTTGTCTTGGACTTTCTCACAGCATAGAAGTTAGCTTTCAAAGGCGACCATCTCAAGAGAGACAGCCAGGAAGAAGCTGTCTTCTTCATATGATCTAGCCTCATCACACAGTATCTACTGGTTGGAGTGGTTGCAAGCTCACCCAGGTTCAAGGGGAGGAGAAATAGATTGTACCTCTTGATGGTCAGTAGCAAGATTCTCGAAAAGCATATATGAAAATATTACTGTAGACATTTTTAGAAAAGGTGATCTGCCACACATTCTTAAATCATTAATTTTTTAAGTAATACTTATCACAATGTAAATAATGTTTACTTAATTTTGGACTTTCTTAGCAGACAAGTGATTCTAAACCCTGGCTGTACATTGGAATCACCCAAGGAACTTTGAAAGATATTAATGACTGTGTCACACCTTTGACAGACTTGGATTTAGTTAGTTGTGTGGCCAAGGCACAGCAATTTTAAGAAGCTTCCCAAGGAAGTCCAAGGTACAGCTAAGATTGAGAACCATTTTACTAAACTGCAATGATTATGCTTCATTCATACTTGCCACTCCAGTGTTTTGAACAGTGACTGCTACATTATAAGCAGTCAGCAATTTATGTTCAACAAATGGATGAATGAAATAGAACCGTGTACATTCATGTTTCTATAACATATATCAAGTAAATATCAAAGGTAAGAAAAAAAGACCAGGAAAAGGGAAAAATCCACAGGGTAAAATTTTAAGTAAAAATATAAAATATAATATTGTTCATATTCCTATAAATATGTGAAGATAGAATAACAAGACAAACACTAGAAAATAATTCAGACAATTGAAAACCCATATTTGATTCTAAGATGTAACAGGGTATTTTCGGCCTTAGAGTTCTGTTATTAATGTGTTTGTAATGAAAATAATAAAAGCCATGAAGAAGAAATAAAAATAGTCTTTATATTAAATTTAAGCTTTAAATGTCAGATATGTCACATGCATGGTTAGATTTTTTTGCCTTTAAAAATTTGTCCTCAGAAGAGGGAGCTCTCCCCCATTTGAGTCCTCACAAAGACTTTATCTTATGGGTACTTACTCAATAACTTTAACAAAGTACAATTTGGGGACAACACTTTAGTTTGAAATAACTTTAATAAGTGCTAGTTTTTATATTTCATTACATTGAAACACTAATAAATTTCCTGGGAAAATATCGTAATAGGCATTTGATATTTTTATAAACAACCCTTCAAGAAAGCATGCACATGTTTTGTTTTAAGGATTAAGGTAGAGAACTGAGCACACTCATTTAATTCTGTCTTTCTGAGTCCCACCTAAACTATAGTGCAAAGAAATAAATACAAAATGATACACTGTAAATCAAAATGTAGACAAAGGGTGGTAGTCGATGCCCTAAAGCCAAGAAAATCTGAAGTGTAAGAAAACCTTTACCAAGCTTATGCTACAGAAACCTCAAATTATTCAGGAACTGGCAGTACAAGACAGGAGATTAAAAAACACTTCTCTGTAGAGTTTGATCAAACCACAAGGAATGACATAAAGATCCTGACATCAGAAGTTCTCCAAGAACAGTTCACCTTTGTCACCCTACAGTGGAACTTAAAATCAACATAAGCCTCACTTATGGAATAAGAGATTCCAATTAGCTTTTAGTACTCAACTTCTAATCATGACCAGACAAGAATTACTACACAGTTAATTTAACACGGAAGACAAACAGAAAAAACTAACTCAGAGCAAGCAATAGAAGAAAGCATGAAAGAATAAAAATAAAAATACAAACTATTACTAATATACTCAATAGATTAAAAGATATTAGTCAAGAAATAAGAATAGAGTGATAAAAGAGGAGGCATTTACAGAATAAAAAGATGGTCTTAGAGATAAGAAAATCTCCAAAATAGCAAAAAAGAAAAGAATAAAAAAGGAGAGGAAAGATATGGAACCATCCCAAAGATCTATTTTACAAGAGAAGTTACAGAAAGAGAACTGAGAACATAGAAAGGAGGAGTTCATTAATAAAGCAATTCAAGAACACTTCTCTGAATTGAAGGACTTGGCTTAAATAAGCCCATTGAGTATCCAAGAAAATAGAAGAAAAGAAACCTACAAAAAGGCATTGTGAAATTTCAGAGAAGATTTAACAAACTTCTAAATTGGGAGAAAAAAGGTGACATATAAAGTTATGAATGCCTTTGAATGTCTCAGTAGCACACTCAATACTAAAAGCAAGGTAAACATAGTTTGTCTTTAAATTCTGAAAAAAAAAATTATTTCCAACCTAGAATTCTATACCTAGCCCAAATTTTAATCAAGTATGAAGACAGAATGAGAGTACTTTTAGGAATGCATGATCTGAAAATCATCAGTTCCTATGTTACCTCTGTTAAGAACTCCACTAAAAGGAAAATAGTAATCCAATAAAGAGGAAGACATGGGATAGCGGAAATAAGATCCAATAAAGGAGAGAAGTGAAAAATCCCAGAAATGCTATTTATGAACCACATGATGAGGTGAATCTGTTCAGGACAGCTCAGGACAGTGTGACCAAGAAACAGACATGTTGATGATTACCACTAAATTTCTTTTTAACGTGAGTACTGAATGAATTGAGCCCAGATTTTCAAATGAACTAGGCTTGTCTTGACAATTAGCTGAGAAATGGTTCTGCTCCCTCCCTATGCTCAGCTGCCTGGAACTAACTCAGAACAATCATTTTACTGAACATAAATGTTCAGCTTTCACTTACTCTTATGAATTGGAAGTAGAAAATAGTGAGCTTTTAAACAGAATACAGAGAAAAACCCACATCTCGTGGCCGTATTTCTACAAACTATTCATCACCTAATACCCTCTACACCCTGCTAGATACCTCAACTCTGGTAAGCCCAATGTGTTCTACAACTTGCTCATGACTTTGCCCTGTGACTTCCTCAGAAGAGGCTCTTATAAACTTCCAGCAAAGCAGAAGTCAGATTATAACTCAGGAGATTTTAAAAAAGAGGAAAAAAAATCAGTGTCCTATAGAAAATTTTCTCTTTCTAACCAATGTTATTTTAACTATGTTCAATAATCTTCATGTTGTCAATTGGCTATTTTTTCCCCCCTCATTACTATAGATAAGTAGAGAATGTAAACTCCTGAAAGTTAATATCATTTCCATATAATCCCATATTCTTATCAAAATGCTGAACTCAAACTACTGATTTTATAGGTATTTCATGATTGGCTTTATAAAATGAAAGATACCAAGCTTTTACTTCATTTTTAACAATTATAAAAATGACTACAATTTAACTTTTATGCCTGCTGGTGTTTTACACACATTTTTGATTCTTGCCAGTAAAAGCTGGTGATGGGTAGAGCTCTTTCTAGTACCTAGAAGACTGACATTGGCACTTACTAATTTTAAGTGCCAAACTTGGAGCATCAAGGAGATATTTATGAGATTGAAATTACTCCTCTAACATTTTTCTTCAAAAGCTTAAGTAAGAGTTATCTAAATATCAGCTTTCCTGAGATACGAAATATTATTGCAATATAAAGATGCATCTAGAGACAAAGGGAAGTAAATAGTAGTTGAGCCCTGAAAAGAAAAAAATAATAAATCATAGATGATTAAATAGCTCTAAATTGAAATAGTTAGAAATTAATCTTTATTAACAAAAATTATAACAATTTTACAAGAAAGGTAAGAATTCCACTTAAGTACCTCGTAATTTCATGAATTACTCTGCTTTTTTTGTTTAATAATTAAAAAAAATCAACAGAAGTACACAGTTATAGGTTTTTAATTCATTAGTGTAATATAGGAATTCAGGAAAAGTAAGTACAATTAATTCATAATATCAGAAATACATTAGAAATAGTACTTCATATATCTGGGCATATTATAAGTCATCTTAACAAGATCTCAATAAAGGATAAAATAGTTTAGCAAAAAAAATCAACAGAAGTACACAGTTATAGGTTTTTAATTCATTAGTGTAATATAGGAATTCAGGAAAAGTAAGTACAATTAATTCATAATATCAGAAATACATTAGAAATAGTACTTCATATATCTGGGCATATTATAAGTCATCTTAACAAGATCTCAATAAAGGATAAAATAGTTTAGCACTTTATGCTTTACCTTTTCATTCAAACTGAGGGTTTCAGAATTACAGAAACTTTTTGTCAACCAGGCCGTTGCAAAGTCACAAAAGTGGCATTTCCCCACACCAAACATTTTAAGAATATACCAACTTTAGAAGTTTTGAGTAGTCCAGGAAGAAGGTGGGAAAAGGTAGCAGATGGGGGAGAATAGGTTTCCTCTATTAAACTCCTCTCAAAATTAGGGAGCAATTTCTGGTCCAATGTCATTTTACATAGTCTCTCAGAAGCACCATAAACCACTTGCTTCTCTAGAAAAATGCTCCTTAGGTTTCTAAAATACCAATTACACCAACCTGACTCACCTGATTTCCCTCTTGTTCCATGGACAGCTCAGCATCTCTTTCTCTGTTACACTCTTACTGCTATTTAATCAACTCCCTATTGTTGGAAATTTAGGTTGGTTCTAATTTTTAACTATCAGAAACAAATTAAAACACAAATAAAAAGGTGAAGAGTACACTTAGAGCTAAATTTTGCTCATATCCATGATTTCTTACACAAGATAAATCCCAGAAATGTGTCAAAATTATACATAACTTTAAGAAGATTCATATTTTCAACAATGGATAATACCACTTAGATTGATCTGTCAAGGTGACAGATGAAAGTCAGTTTCTTATTTTCTTTTAGTGGAGTTTTTGTGATAGTAAATGTTTTCCAAATTGACTTTCCAAAGTCATGTATATTTCCTCTGTGGATTACGTTGTTCATATCATTTGTTATTATATTTTCTATTTTTGGGATTACTTTGTTACTTATTTTTAAGAGTTCTTAATATATTGAGGTTTATTATTTTCCTTTCTGTTTCATATGTACAGTAGGCCAAATTATAGATGGCCTCATGACCTTTGCTCCTGGTATTGCTTCTGTGATTTTGTTGTTACACAACAAAAGGGATTTTGTAGATGTAATGAGAGTTACTATTCAGTTGACCTTAAGATAGGGAGGTTATGTTGGTGAGCCTAATCTTAACACATGAGCTCTTTAAAAGCAGAACTTTATTCCTGGCTGGCAGCAGAATAGAAAGTCAGTGAGATTCAAAGCACAGGAAGGACCTGATCCACTCCCAGCTTTCAAGGTGAAGGGTCATGTGCAAGGACTGGAAAGTAGTGTCTATGAGCTAAGAATCACCTCTGGCTGACAACTAGCAGGGCAAGAGGAACCTTGGTCTTACAATTACAAGTAACTGAACTCTGACCAACAACCTGAATGAGCCTAGAAACTGATTCTTTCCCAGAGCCTACAGATAAGAGCCCAGTCCAGCCAACAGCTTGTCTTTGATCCTATTTGACCAGCAAACCCAGCTAGGCCCACTCAAATCACTACATAAAAAACAGATGTGTTTTAAGCCACAGAGTTTGTGGTAATTTGTAATACATCAATAGAAAATATAATATGTTAAAAATATGATTTTAAATATCTCACACTTTTATACTAATAATTTTTTATTTCCAAAAAAAGGAAGTTTTGTGTGGAATGAAACAGTTAATTTTCTTAGGAAGTAGCAAAGATTTGACTTTACTTAAATAATTAGCAAGGAAGAAAAAACATAAATATCATAAAACTGTGAGGGACAGAAAATAATTCAAGCTTGAAAAGTCACTTTTAGATTTATTAAAGTACTTACTTTATCATTAAGTCTAGAGAAGTCAGTATATCTTCTGAACACAACCCAGCTTTCTTCTGGGGTTTTCTTTACTAGTATTTTATATACCTACACAGAGAGAGAGAGGGTTTAAAACAAAAAGAAAAAAAAGTTATGTGAAGATATTTAACAATTTAAACTAAATATTTTTAAAACATTTACTTAGCCCATAACAATTATTATGTAAAAAATACCAGAAACCATTTAGACCATCAAATGTACAAATAATGTAGGCAAAAAACATTTTTTTTTATATTGGAAGTATTGTTGATATACAATCTTATACTGTTTTCAATTGCTGTGAAAAGCAGTATGGAGGTTCCTCAAAAAACTAAAAATAAAAATACCATTTGACCCAGTAATTCCACTTCTAGGAATTTACCTGAAGAAAACAAAATCCCTGATTCAAAAAGATATGTGCACCCCTAGGTTTACTGCCACATTATTTACAACAGCCACGATACGGAAGCAACATAAGTGTCCATCAGTAGATGAATGGGTCAAGAAGATGCACACAGGCACAATAGAATATTATTCAGCCATAAAAAGAAATCTTGCCATTTTCAACAACATGTATGGATCTAGAGGGTACTATGCTCAGTGAAATAAGCCAGGCAGAGAAAGACAAAAGCAAGAGTTTTTTAAGAAACATGATTATGACAAATTTGAGATAAAATGCTTTTTCAGTACACACTAATAAATGAATTCATCAGTTTCCAAAATATATTTTATGCCAACATATTCTAAAACTGATCAATCAATTGTGCTTGAAAAGGCTGTGAAAAATGGCCACTCTCGTTCTTTAGAATCAATTTAACTTTTAAACTCAGTAACTACACCAAGCAAGTTTTCAAATAAATTTGATGTTTTAATCTTCAAGGCTGAAATACAAGCTAAGAAAATACCCAGGTAGATAAAAGTCTACATTTCTGTAATTATACACAAAATTATCTAGGCTATTGAATAGAAAAACCTGTTGAAGCAAGTCAATATTTTAAAAAGCATTTAATAAAAAACTGGATTTTATTTTTCTTATATCAAGATTCCATATTTCTTATACTACTTCATAATAATTTATTAAGAATTTATTATGAGGAAGTACTTTTTAATAATAGAATCTCAGAGAAACAACTCCTGGTAGTTTTTGGTGTAGCATTTTAGGCTAAGCTAAATACATGGCAAATACAAAATGCTAAGTAATTATCCACTGAATGAGTGAAACTCCTAAAAGGAGTAACTTTTTTTTTTTAAGTCTGTTGTTCAAAAACTCTGTTGTAGTTCTAGAGCTATATTTTGCTCATGTGTGGTTACTGAATATTAGAAATGAGTAGTCTTAATTGACATGTGCTGTGAATTAGACATACACAATATATTTCAAAGGCTTAGTATGAAAAAAGATGTAAAAAATCTATTAGAATGTTTTAAAATTGATTACATTTTGAAATGATAGTTTGGATACACGTTAAATAAAAAACATTAAACATAATTTCATCTGTTTTACTTTTAATAAGGCTACTAGGAAATTTTAAATTACAAATATGACTCATCATGGTTCACATTACAGTCCTATTAGGTGCTCTAGAGACAATTCACTATTTAGGGACTATAGAGCATCCTTACCATTTGATTTTGCTCCTTATAGACTTCTCTTTCAGCTTTTAAGGGGGAGAATCAGCAAGGGTTAAGTCTTTGAAGTAAAATACAGGTAATTAATTTTTGTAAAATAAGGTGAGGAATTAGATTATTTGGATACCCCTTAAAGTCTCCAGAAAGTCCTGATCTAAGATAGTTGCAAAGTGGATACAAAGGAAATATTCTTTTTAAGAGTAACTAATTCAAAGAAAGGGATAAACTGACTTCAAAACTTTTGAGTGTGAATAACTGCTACATGAAAACAGTCAACTTCATATGATAATTAGGTTTATCTATACATAATCCATATTGATGTTATTTTCCTGTTTTAAACAATGAACCCTCCTTTCTAACTAAGCTACAGTGGCCCCTGAACACTCCTGTTTCTGTAGGAAAGACCAAGCACAAATTTTTGTGTTTTATCTTTACTAAAGAGCTCTTCTACATTTCTACCTGTTTCAGTAGTGCTCTCAATGAAAACTTTATGGACACTACTAATCATTCCTTCTTCTATGTTCTAATAAAAGTTATTGTTTCTACTCTTTGTAATGGCATCATACTACTTTCTACTGTTTATCTTTATGTAGTCTTTGTTTTAGAATTTTTAAGTATGACATATACAGAAACATACATTAATTATAAAATAGAGAACACACAAACTCATACGTATATAACTTAACGAATTTCCACAAAGTAAACACACCCACTGTAATTAGTAACAAGAACAAGGAACAAAACATTACCAATTGAAGAAGCCCATCTTGTGCTTCCTTCCCAATCCTGCCTACTTTTTATTTTAAATACCTTTCAAACACTTGACACTTTATGTAAGATCTCACTAATCATTCCTAATACTTTCTTCAGTTAAGAGATTAATTCAAAGAAATACACTAAGGAAAAATTACTTCATAAATTTAACAATCCCAAACTATGTCTCCAGAGCTCTCCCCTAAATTCAGCTTTGATATAAACACATACACAAAATACACATTTGCATACATTCACATGAACACACACACACAACCTGTTTTAACATCTCAAAATTTTTACTTCTCAAATGTATCATGTCTGAAAACAAATCCTGATCTTCCCCCTCAAAATCTGCCATCTGATTAAATGGCAACCCTATTCTTTTCATTGTTTAGTGCAAAACCTTTGGGATATCATTTGATTTCTTTCTTCCACATCCCAAAGCCCTGCTTTCAAAATACATCCAGAATACGATCATGCCTAGGATTGTTTCTACCCCCCTAGTCCACACCATCATGTCTTCTGTGGATTATTGCAAGAACTGCCTCTTGCCTCCATTGTTCCTCCACAAAATCTAGTCTTAGTTCAGCAGCCAGAGTGAGTATTTTAAACAACTGTCAGAACATGTGACTCTTCCTTTACCAAGATTCCCATTTCACACAGAGTAAAATCTAAAAGCCTTACAATGGCCTACATGCTCTACTTGATCTGTGTGTCACACTCCCTTACCTTTACCTGCTTCTCAGTTCCTACATTTTTCCCCATTGCTTATTCTGCTGTCAACCAAGTGTCTTTGCAGTTGTCCCATCTGTCTGGAAAGCTCTTTCCCAGATACTCTAATGGCTCACTCCTTAGTGCTAACTTCTTTTGTGGCCATGATGGGCAATGCTACTTAAACTACAACTTGTTTGGGGGAAGCTATATCCTTTCCTTCTTTTATTTCTCTCTACAGCACTTATCACCATGGGACATACCAGCAGTTTAAAAAAATGTACTTATTAATCATTTATTCATTAGAGTTGCTGTACCCTATTACCTGGAAGAGTGCCTGGCACATAACAGGTACTCAAAAAATGTTAAATTAGTGAATAAATGAATGTGACCCTTCCTCTATAGTGTCTTTAAAGACTTTCTACACCATTGCCTTAAATTTGCCCATGAACTTGCATTTCACACACATCAAGTCAATGAATGCTCACTCTTGGATAAGAGAAGTAAGTAATGTAAAGGAATGAATCAGCAGTTTGTTGTAATTTCCAAAATTAGTCTTAAAAAAGTCAAGTCTATGCAGATTTCCCATCATATCATTAGTTTCATGATAACTCTAAAATGACAGTCTCTTCAAGTATTATCTCAGCAGTATTTTTCTTGGAGGGTCTTCCAGACTGTCATAAGTTTATGGCATGAAATGTTGAAGTAAACACAAAAACTTTATTTCAAGAAAATTCAAGAGAAGGAAAAAATTATTCCAACTTATAAGTGAATTTAGCAAGGTTGCTAGATAAATATACATTAATATATAAAGCCAAAATATATAAACTGGCAATGAACAAATAAATAGAAGAAGATATTGAGAATATCAAACAACATCCATACCTAGAAATAAATCTAACCAAAAGATGTAAGACCTCTGCCCTTAAAAACTATAAAACATTATTAAAAGAAGTTAAAGACTTTTTGGTTAGGCTCGTAGATTCATTAGTGAAGATGTCAGTTCTCTCTAGATCAGTCTATAGATCTGATACAGTTTCAATGCAAAGGACCAAGAATAGCCAAGACAATCCTGAAAAAGAAGAAAAAGCTACCAGCTATCAAGACCTATTATGAAGCATTAGTAATTAAAGATAGTAGGGAATTGGTAAAAGAGAGAAAAATGGAACAGAGAAACAGACCCATAGAATTATGGTCACTTGATTTATGACAGTCAACAGTGCAAATTCAGAGGAGAAACAGTATCTTTTCAATAAAAACCTGATTACACAGTTTTTAAAAGAAAGCACAGATAACATTTTTGTAACCTCGGAGTAGAAAGATTACAGATTTTAAAAAGTGCTGATTATAAAAGAAAAAATTAATAGACTGGACTATACTAAGAACTTTTGTTTACCAAATGCATTATTAAGGAAGTGAAAAGGCAAACCTCAGAGATGTTACAATACATGTTCTGAAAAAGGACTTATGTCCAAAGCACACAGAATACTACAAAGTGCAAAAGACTTATTCCAAGAAAAGTAGAATAAAGGTCTTAAGCATTTCACAGAAGAAATGATCCAAATGGTCAAAGAAAGTCTTCAATTTAATTAGTCATTAAGAAAATGAAAATGAAAATCACAATGTGATAGCATTCTACCCACTGGAATAGTTGAAATGAAAAAGAAAGATATCACATATTTGGAATGTGTGGAGCAACTGGAACTCTCATACACTGCTTAAAGAAGTATAAAATAGTACAGCCACTCTGGTACACTGTTCACCAGTATTTTCTAAAACTGGGCATATGATCCAGCAATTTTACTCCTAGGCAGATTATCAAACACAGATGCATACATGTGTTTACTGAGTGAAAAGTACTAAAAGGTTCACAGCAATAACATTTGTAAAAGCCCCAGGCTGGAAGTTATCCAAATGCTCTTCAATGGTAGAATGGATAAATAACTGTAATATAGTCACATAAAGGAATATTATCAGTCAGAAAAATGAGCAACCTACAATTATATGCAAAATGAAGGATGACTCTTTACACATAATGCTAAAAGAGGCCACACCCAAAAGAGTAGATACTCTGTAATTCCAAAAAAAAAAGCAAAATTAATCTAGACTATCATTAGAATAGTGACTGACAGAGAGCATGGAAGGGGCACATTTAGGATGCTATTAATGTTCTGTTTCTTGATCTGTGTGCTCGTTTCATAGGTGTGTCTAGTTTGTGAAAATTCCATTCAAGTAAACAAAAGTTTACTATGGCATGACAGAATTAGGAGTTGTAAAAGCCATTTAAATCTTGTGTTCAAAGTACTATAAGTACATACATTAATAAATTTAACATAGGTTTAGAACACAGGTAAATCTTTCACTTTCTACTGGTGTACAGTAGAAGTCAATACTCACAGTAAACTTAGCTCTTTCTTCCATCACCTCATAACCCAGTATAGTAGGTGTTGAAGGTCTATCTTCCAAATACACTGTTTCAGGATTTTGTTCTTCACTTTCTCTTGGTCTAGAAGAATATTCAATGGAAGAATCTGCACCTGTGAATTTAGTCCTAATGAGGGGACTGCTACAGTCAGATGAGGTACTATCCATTTGATCAGGTACACTTGTCTGTTTAAAATTATCCATATTTGAGTCTTCTAACAGGTCTTTGGAAGAGTTTGAGTTTGTTGATACACTCCCAAAAGAAGAACTTCTTTGGTTTCTGTTGGTTGTAAAACCGGAGGCAGAGCTCCCTATGGGCATAGGAACTGGGACATAAGGAGTTGCCATCTTCTTTTGGCCTTTGAAACAAACTGGCACACTGATGAGTCCAATCACTTACAGACCAACTAACATGCAATCCATTATTTTCTTAGGAATTCACTCTCTAAAAATAAGAGAACATATTGAAAGATTAGTCTCTTGTCTGGAGCATTAGCCAAAAGAAAACAACATGTTCATATTCACTTTTTAAAATTTTGTTACACTGTAATATTTTATTTGGAATAAAAAGATGCCCCAAAATGCTTCTTTGAATCCCCAAATATCATCTCTAAAGACTCCCATTTATTCAGTAAAGAGAGAACTACTCCCCATCCTTTTCCTTGACCCTCATATTACGTTAGCCTGATTTCATCTATATAAGAGAGTCAGAAAGAGGGAGAATGGTAAAGACTTCCTGAAGCTTTATTCTCTGCTTATGGTCCTGACAGTACTACATACAGTATAAGAAGGAAAGGAGGAAAGGGTAGGAAAGAAAGGCAGGAGAATTATTTACACTGCCTTTTCACTTTTTAGTGAAACTCTAAAGAATTACCCAGAGTAATAACAGTGAACCAGAAGCTTAGATGCAACCAGGTAAATGTCAACTGCTCTTAAAGTAACAGTTTATTAAACTCAGGGTCAAATGTATCTGAAAAAACTTGGTCAAATTAAATTAATCAAATAAAACCCAATAAACACTAAACTTATATCCAAGAAGATTAAATGATTAAAAGTTTAAATGTTGTTTCCAAGTCATCAGAAATTCTGCTATGCAATAAACTGAGGTACTTAAATCTTTATAACTTCAACTCGATAATCTCTGTTGTCAAAGGGTCTATTTTATCGTGTCTCAGAATGATTTCATAACAATACAAAAAAATAAAGGTTACCACTAAACTGTTAAATAATAGAGTAAGAAATCGTAGTAACTACACATTATTGAAATGACACGTAACAACGGCTCTGCCTATCCAACTACTTCTTTGTAATCTACTAGTAGGAAAGGTAGGAAACAAGCTGCCCAGACTTGGAAAGATGCTGAAATAAGATTTTAAATCCAGCACGTGGCTCTGGGCAACCTTCCGCATCATCAAAGATTCAAGAAACCTGAGCTGCTGATTCACTTCTACTCGGTTCCGCCTCATGGCCTCCCCAAAAATAAGTCAGTAAAAGCATGAAATCTCAATCTTTTCAAGGTATGTGGGATTGCCCTGCCCTTTGCCACTCAACTACCTGAGGCGGCAGGACTTGGGGAGGTCGCACGTCAATACAACTCTTTACATGCAAAGAAGTAGCGCTACTCACTCAAACTTTAAGGACATGTATTGGTCTCGTAAAGAGTATCTTCACTTTTGCCCTGTGTGGAGATGCTCTGAGAACAAACATCTTACTCCTACTCTGGAAAACCTCGGGCAGGTGAGGTGCCTGAGCACCAAGAGAGTGGAAGGGAGTGGTGGGTGGCAAGAGGAAAGTTAAGAAAGGCAGGCGCAGCTCGCCCCTAGGAGTGGTGTCTGAGCAGGCCATGGGTCTTGTGCTCGGGGGTTGGCGAGACCTTTCGCTCCAGGGGTCCCTGAGGCCCCAAGAAGGTCCCATCTCTGCAGCCCTGTGGAGGCCAGCGTCTCCCAGACGCACGGCAGAGTCCGCGGTGCAGTAAGTGTGGCTCCTCCGGCGCCCCTCCGCCTTCCTGTGGAACCTGCCCGCCGCCTGCCAGCAGCAGGCGGGCAGGTATCACCCGCCCGAGCGCCAAAGCAGCGTCCGCAGCCCGGCCCCTACCTCCGTCCACTCCACGGTCTCCTCGGAACGCATTTCCCGGAGACGGTTAAACCCGGCCTTCCTTAATCGCAGCTGTTGGTTTACACCCACAGTACCGGAAGGTCTCACGTGACTCTCCGTCTCCAAAGAAGCTGCTCCTGGCTTCTACCCGCAGAGTCCCGGCCGCCGGACCCAAGAACCCAAGGAATCGGAGGGAGAGGCAGTCCGCCGACCTCTGCAGGAAGTGACGTCACACCAGGGCACCGCCCCCGGAGGCGCAGGCTCGTGATGGTCCGTGTTCCTGTGGCCGCTGGAGTGGTTCGGACAGGGCTTTTGGCAGTTGAGTTGAACCTGGGTTAGTGGTAAGAGTTCTACTTTCTCTGCCCTAGCTTAAGTAAAATTTTAAGAAGTGGAGGCTACGACACTTAGGTCGCCCTACAGGTAGTTAGAAGACCACAATTCCCAGGAAGAACTACGGCCAACCTTAGTTCGGGCTCCTGCTTTGCATCCCGGGACTTGTAGTCATAACCAGCTTGGTCTGGTTCTAATAGGTTATAGATTGTTTCTAGAATAGCAGCGCTTTGAGGGTGACAATCGATTCTAGGGGTGGAACGGTAGAACACTGCAACACAGCCAGTCATCCTACATAATTTGTAAGTCCTCATTGGCAGAGAGCTCGTGAAATTATTTACGATCTGGGTAGCAATTTTCTCCCAAATAATTCAGTATTAGGTTTGTTGGATTTGCACATCTGAAGACCTGTCGGGTTATCAGGAAGGTCGTTCTTTAATAGTCGAATACCAAAATCCGGATTAGTCTGTAGGCCTGTTTATCACTAGAATTGTACAATTTGATTTAAAGATCATTCCCTGATTTCTAAGGTTTTGGTATATTCCCAAGACTGGGAAAGATTGATAGCTGTAATTTCACAATGAACATAGGAAGATAATCTGGTTTGTAACGTAGTAATGGTTTTGCGTTGATAATATTGCCTTTCTAATGTGATTAAGATTAAAAAGAGGATTATATAGAGACACTAGACTAACACATGAGGCAGTTTTCAGGATAGACCTGGCCCGTCTTGGCCCTGAAATGGCAGTTATATCCATAAATTCTCTTAAGTAAGGGTATGGAGAGAATGGACTCACTCAAGGACAGGCCTATGGGTAGTAGCAAAAAATACCTTTGGGAAGGAAAACCTGATAGTCCAACAAGGAAGCCAAGAAAAATTAAAGTTTCAAGCAGCAAAGGTGTACAGATACCACAGGAAGAGGCTAAAGATCTACAAAAGGTCATTGAAATTGTCCATGAAGAACTTCCTTCACAGAGTATTGAAACCAGCATATAGGATATACATATTTGTCCTTTATCTTGCAGAGTATCTGGTGTTGATATATGTCTAGATTTTACTTTCAGAAAATGAACTGAACATTGCTTTTTTAAGTTAAAAATTAAAAAAATTAATATATATATGTAACATTATATTAGTTTCAGGTTTATGAAATAATGATGTATTTGTATACATTACGACATGATCACCACAATAAGTAAAGTTAATGTCTGTCATTATACATAGTTACAGAATATTTTTTTTCATCTAACCAGGACGTTTAAGATTTATTTTCTTAGCAACTTTCAAATATGCAATACACTTTTATTAAATATAGTTATTATGCTGTATGCTACATCCCAAGGACTTACTTATTTTATAACTTATTTTATAAATTTGTACATTTGGATCCCCGTTCTTTATTTTATCTAGACCTCAGTCCTCACCTTTGGCAACCACCGATCTGTTTTTCTGTGTATATGAACTTGGTGTTTTGGTTTGTTTTTGAAATTCCACATGTAAGTAAGCCCATATGGTATTTATCTTTCTCTAACTTATTTCACTTAGCATAATGCCCTCAAGGTCCATTCATGTTGCAAATGGCAAGATTTTGTTCTTTTTATGGCTATAGTATTCCACTGTATATACAGTAGGTCCTTGAACAACGTGGGAGTTAGGGGTGCTGACCCCTATACACTTGAAAACATACATATAACTTTTGACTCCCCTAGAACTTAACTACTAATAGCGTACTATTGAGCAGAAGCCTTACCAACAACAGTCAATTAACATATATTCTGTATGTTTTATGTATTGTACATTTTATTCTTACAATAAAGTAGGCTAGAGAAAAGAAGCTTTTTTCAAACAAAGCTCCAAAATTTTTTCCAATGTATTTATTGAAAAAAATTCCTGTGTAAGTGGACCCATGCAGTTCAAACCCATTATTAAGGTCAACTATATATACCATATCTTCATTCATTCATTCATTCATTCATCCGTAGACACTTAGGTTGTTTCCCTATCTTGGCTATTGTAAATAATGCTGCAATGAGTATGGGGTTCGTATGTCTTTTCAAATTACTGGGTTTTAAAATTTTCAGATAAATACCCAGAAATAAAATGGCTGGATCATATGGTATTTCTCCATATGTTTTCCATAGTGGCTGAACCAGTTTATATTCCCACCAAGAGTGCACAGTGGTTCCTTTTCTTCATATCCTCACCAAAAATTGTTACCCTTGTCTTTTTTTAATGGTCATTCTAACTGCTATGAGGTGATACCTCATTATGGTTTTGATTTGTAATTCCCTGGAAAGTTGAGCATCACTTCATGTACTCATTTGTATGTCTTCTCTAGGAAAGATCACTTCACTGTTGGTCATTTGTATGTCTTCTCTAGGAAAAAGTCTATTTAGAGTATTTTTCTGTTTTTGTTTTTTTTTGCTATTGAGTTGCATAAGTTTTTTATATATTTTGGGTGTTAACCTTTTAATGGATATATGATTTGCAAATATTTTCTCCTATTTTTAGGTTGCTTTTAACTTTTGTTGATGATTTCCTTTGCTGTGCAGATGCTTTTTATTTTGATATGGTCCCACTTGTTTATTTTTCTTTTCTTGCTTTTGCTTTTGGAGTCAGATCCAAAAAATCATTGCCAACACCAACATCAAGGAGCTTACCCCTGTGTTTTCTTCTAGGAATTTTATGGTTTCACGTCATCCATTCAAGTCTTTAATCCATTTTGTGTCAGTTTTTGTATATGGTGTAAGATAGTGGTCTAGTTCATTCTTTTGCATGTGGCTATCCAGTTTCCCCAACACCATTTATTGGAGAGACTGCCATCTCCCCATTGTATTTAATCTTGACTTCTTTGTCATAAATTCACTGACCGTATATGTATGGGTTTATTTCTGGACTCCTGAGCATCTTCAATACAAGACAGAATATCCTATGGTTATTAGAATGAAAGTTATATTATCATAGACCATATCTGATAGCTAGTCTTGATGTATGGAATTTTTTAGTTAAGCTTGGATGCCTTTCTACAATGCATGCATTCAAATTCAATTGTATATTTTTTAATTTGTGGAGTAACAGAAGCCCATTTTTCTCCCCTTACATTATTTTAATTGTATGTAAAATATACATTAGCAGGACATTTTGAACCCATTCAAGGTACAATTTTATATACAATAATATATAGGTGGTATTGGTAACAGGCAGGAGAAAAAAGTATGTAATAGACAGACATCTCTTGAGGTGACTTCCTAGATATCAACATTTCCCCCTTCTCTGGAACCAGTCCCTTTTCTAAAGGATGGGCCCCTGTGGCCATGTTTCTAATATATTACTCTTGCAGCAAATGTTTTTTGTCATAGTTGATTGTGCCATAGGAGGACACTTGACTTAAGTTGTGTCTGAAGGATGCTTTCTTCTAGGAAATAAAATAGGGGTGGAGGTGAGATAGAACCTGGAACCCCCAAGAACTAATGTCCAACTAAAGGAAATTCTATGGTGAGAAGGTCCCGCTGAGGTCCCTGGAGTTGACTGGTCTTGCGCTGTTCTTGACTTTTCCTTGGAGTTCATGAGATTCCCTAGTATTCTTTCAATAGATTTGCTTTTTGCTTACATCTAGCCAGTTAGTTCTTTTGCTTATAACCAAAAGTACAACTAGTAGAGAAAACTGGAATCAAGCAAACTCAAATATGAGTAGTAAGAGCTGATAAAATGCAAATAATTCCTTTTCAATGACTTATAACTTATAACTCTATTATTTATAGCCACTATTAACTACCAATAGCTGACAACCATTAATAACTATTATTATTATATTATTATAGTAATTATCTAACCCTAAGTCTAGAGTAGGAATTACATGGTATTTATAATGGCACAGAGAAGGTGCTCCTCACAGCTACATTGATTAGTGATTTACCATTCATTTTTTACGTAAGAAAAATTTTAAAAGCTTTAGTAGAAATCCTATTGTAAATATAACAGAGATCAAGTTCCTTCACAAAAATCACGGTATAATCTTAAAACTGAAAGGGTCCATCGTGGTCATGAGGATAAGCCTCCATTTTAGAGCTAAGACTACTGAGGAAAACAGGCTAGAAGATCGGCCTTTAATCATAGAGCCAGTGAATCCTTGACTCCCACACTAGTGAGCTTCTCACCATGCACAATAAGACAACCTTTCCTGAGCACTTTTTGTGTCCAAAATTTAGCCTTCCAGTAGTGTCTTGCTTCTGGTATATTCTCAGTTATCATTTGATACCTAGGAATTCTTCACAGAATTTATGCATGAGAGAGGCCTTCATTTGAGTCTTTAAAGATAGGAATTGAATGAGTAAAGGAGGGATGCAGGGCACATTAGGCAAAGTCAGAAACTTGAGAGAGGATCATAATAGGTTGTGGGAAAATGAGGAGACCAACCTAATTGAATTGAAGGGTATTCAGGTGTAGCTGGAAATAGAGAGATGAACTCCAATTCATCCCTCAAGTCCATCTCAAATATAATCTCATTAGTAAACCTTCCTGATTTCCTCAGATGGAACTAAGTGTGTCCTCTATGATCCCATTGTATTTGGTACATGATCAGAAGTAATCACATTCTACTGTGAGTACTTATTTATGTGTTCAGGATCATATATTAGATATTTATCTGCTGACAGTACCTTATATGGTACCTGGAAAAAAGCAGGTACTTTATGTGTAGTCCCCATAATTACTATTGTTTTTATATCTGGCCCACTTCACTTATTCATATTTTTTGTAAGATCCCTGTAGACATTTGCATTTTCAGCTCCTAGTTTAGAGAATTAAATCCAGTTTCTTTGAGTAGGCGTAAAGCCCTGTCATGAACTGACTGATCTACTTTTATAGTCTATTT